TTCTCCATCTCTCCAACCCGGGTTGCCGCTCAACCTCACAATTAAGTATCAAAATGAATAAGTTCAATTTCTCACTCAATGACAAATTTTTTACTTCTCGCTTTCTCAAGATTTCAAACATGGCAACAAAAAAATGGTCTGTCTCCTGCTTCATTTAGTTCCAGATTGCCAATCCTCAATTTGCTGGCTCAGGAATTTATCGGCTTCCTCTGGGGTGCTGAATGTAGCGGTGTTGTTATTCACAGTAACCATGAACTGCGCAGGGTACCGAAACCCATAACGAATCCTCTTGGACCTGCATTGCTCCCTGATGGCTTGGAACGCCTGACGCTTCTTCATAACAGCTGACGTGAGGTCGGGAAAGATGAACACCGGGCGACCGTCGTACTGCAGAGGGCTCTTCTCCTTCGCCAGCCGTAGCACCCGCTTCTTCTCTTGAAAATAATGCAACCTGACGATGATGGCTCTCGCCTTCCCATCTTTGGCCTGCGTTAGGCTCCGGTGCGCCCGATCCACTTCGATTGGCCGATCAAAGTTGTCCTCTCCCAGCAATTCGGGTAGCAGTTTACAGACAAAATCCGTCGGTCGACCATTCTCGGCTTTCTCTCGTATGCCTACAATACGGATATTCTGCCGGCGCGAGCGAGCCTCCAGATCATCCAGTTTAGCTTGCTGTAAAGAGCATTGAGCAGCGAGGCTATCGTGCCTCTTCTCCAGCTCTGAGATCCGTCTATCCTGTGACACGACTGCAGCCTCGGTTGATGTCACACGATCACAAATATCGGCGAGCGCCGTTTTGAGACTGGAAATTGATCCATTGAGCTCAGCAAACCTCGTGTCGACCGTGCTGCTAAGCTTGCTTATGGCAGTTAGGACGTCTTCATTGGTGGCGGATGCACCCGGAGAGCGCGCGGGGCTCGTGTTAGCATTAGCCACCTCGAAGCTTGCTAGCTTGGTCCGGTCGTCCACGGCCTCATCCCCCGAGCTTTTGTCCTTCTTATTTCCTTTGGGCTTCGTCATCTTGTTAATCGGGTTATGGTATACTATGAATTTGCTGAGCAGAAGTTTAAAATATTATTTAGGGTGAAAAAATTTTGAAGTTGAGTCGGAGCTCCCTCGATACACGTCTACTCCATGTCAGACCTAGGCCACGCCCCTTGAAAACATTTTAATATTAAAAAATGTTGCGTTTTTCTGAGTGTCTTTTTTTGTTGTTGTTGTTGTTAGTCTATAACATATTTTAATCTTATAAAATATCCAAAAAAAGAAATGAAATATTTCTCTCGGGTGCTTCGTGTGATCCAGGGGGAGTTTTAGCACCCCCTAGCGCCTCCCTGGAGCCACCACACCCACATCGGCGTCTTTTTTTCCTCCTGGATTCTTCAACTAAAATTCGGCATCTTCAAAAACTCGCTCGGTTATGGCGGCCCCAAAAATTACACCATACTTGAACTACAGCACCAATAAAAAAATTATTATTATTATTTCAAGAAAAAATTAAACCGAAATGGACTTGAACAGTTCTGCTCGACAGATGTTCCTTCAGTATCTCGCGAGCTCCAGTGGCGCAATCGGTTAGCGGGCGGTACTTATAAGACAGTACACCTTGAGCAATGCCGAGGTTGTGAGTTCGAGCCTCACCTGGAGCACTTGTTTAATTCTGTGGGTGTGTTATTATGTAGAGACGGCAAGAGTAAGGAGCAGAGAATGAGCCTGTGGCGTATGTAACAAATAACCTTTAATATTTAAACTAATGTCAAAGGTGATGAAATAAGACATTTTCATGAGTTGGTATTTTCTCTTTTGCTCTTTTTAGCTGAAGCTGAAGAAAATAACTTTTATAAAATGTTTTGGTTTTTTTTTGTATGTATTTGTTACAACCATTGCAAATGTAAATCATTTGACCAGTCAGTCAAGAGAGTATAAGCGCCGTTTATCACCTTCCCTCCTTCGTCTCTGCTATGCTACATCTAACTCCCCACAATAAAGGCTAGTTAGCATGACCACAGATGCTGAATGTCCCATATTTAGCAGCGTGTACATAAGAGGATTGACAGCGCTAAGGCTTGTGAGTGTGAAATTAATTTAAACGTGTCATTTCAATTAATTTCTAGTTTATTTCTGTCGGTTTGAGCTTCTGCTTTATCTAACGCAAAAAAAAAACAACAATAAAACAAACAAGAAAATTCAAACCTATGTTGGAGGTTTTTACATTTTGAAAATTCAGCAGCAGCTCATTACTTTTCGACATATGTAGTTGCTGCTACATGCCGAGAAATGATGAGCGGGCTCCTGCGGTGCCGTCTGTCAGGTCACTGGATTTCCAAGTAGGTGCGCAGTGCAGATTGTCAGACAGAACTTCACCTGGAGAATTTTCTCACCAAGTTTCACTTCCTTCCTGTTGCTTTTTTTTTATGTAAAAAGTATAAAAAAAGAAAAAAAAAATCTAATTGAGACTCAGAACAGAAACTTTGATTGATTGATTGACTTCCACCTCGTATAAAGGTTAAATGTGCGTCAGCCCTAAATTATCAAACAGTTTTAAAAGCAGCAAAATACTTTTTAAGCTATATGTGGGTTTTTATGTGGGAACCAATCAATATTTAAATGAATTATTTTCTTTAAATGAATTATTGGGGCCCTGCCCACTAATTCTGCCATTGCATGGCAGGCACCTATTAATCTTCACCCAATAGAATGTCTCTTTATTGGGGCCCTGCCCATAGCAATGCATGGAGGCAGTTACTGACTTGCTTCGCAAGTCAGTCACTGCTCTCCTTATTATTATTGGGGCCTTGCGAAGCAAGTCAGTCACTGCCTCCATGCATTGCATGGCAGGCACCTATTAATCTTCACCTAATAGAACGCCTCTTTATTATTATTATTATTATTGGGGCCCTGCCCATAGCAATGCATAAGGAGAGCAGTTACTGACTTGCGAAGCCTAATAGAATTTCTCTTTATTGGGGCCCTGCCCATAGCAAAGCATAAGGAGAGCAGTTACTGACTTGCTTTGCAAGTCAGTCACTGCCTCCATGCATTGCATGGCAGGCACCAATTATTCTACACCCAATAGAATATCTCTTTATTATTGGGGCTTGCCTAGCAATGCATAAGGAGAGCAGTGACTGACTTGCAAAGCAAGTCAGTCACTGCCTCCATGCATTGCATGGCAGGCACCTATTGATCTTCACCCAATAGAATGTCTCTTTATTATTATTATTGGGGCCTGCCTAGCAATGCATAAGGAGAGCAGTTACTGACTTGCAAAGCAAGTCAGTAACTGCCTCCATGCAATGCATGGCAGGCACCTATTATTCTACACCCAATAGAACGTCTCTTTATTATTATTATTATTGGGGCCTGCCTAGCAATGCATAAGGAGAGCAGTTACTGACTTGCAAAGCAAGTCAGTAACTGCCTCCATGCAATGCATGGCAGGCACCTATTATTCTACACCCAATAGAATGCCTCTTTATTATTGGGGCCTGCCTAGCAATGCATAAGGAGAGCAGTGACTGACTTGCTAAGCAAGTCAGTTACTGCCTCCATGCATTGCATGGCAGGCACCTATTAATCTTCACCCAATAAAACGTCTCTTTATTATTATTATTATTGGGGCCTTGCGCATAGCAATGCATAAGGAGAGCAGTGACTGACTTGCTAAGCAAGTCAGTCACTGCCTCCATGCATTGCATGGCAGGCACCTATTAATCTACACCCAATAGAACGCCTCTTTATTATTATTATTGGGGCCTGCCTAGCAATGCATAAGGAGAGCAGTGACTGACTTGCGAAGCAAGTCAGTCACTGCCTCCATGCATTGCATGGCAGGCACCTATTAATCTACACCCAATAGAATGTCTCTTTATTTATTGGGGCCTGCCCATAGCAATGCATAAGGAGAGCAGTGACTGACTTGCAAAGCAAGTCAGTAACTGCCTCCATGCATTGCATGGCAGGCACCTATTAATCTACACCCAATAGAACGCCTCTTTATTATTGGGGCCTGCCTAGCAATGCATAAGGAGAGCAGTGACTGACTTGCAAAGCAAGTCAGTAACTGCCTCCATGCATTGCATGGCAGGCACCTATTAATCTACACCCAATAGAATGTCTCTTTATTATTATTATTGGGGCCTGCCCATAGCAATGCATAAGGAGAGCAGTGACTGACTTGCAAAGCAAGTCAGTCACTGCCTCCATGCATTGCATGGCAGGCACCTATTAATCTACACCCAATAGAACGCCTCTTTATTATTATTATTGGGGCCTGCCTAGCAATGCATAAGGAGAGCAGTGACTGACTTGCAAAGCAAGTCAGTCACTGCCTCCATGCATTGCATGGCAGGCACCTATTAATCTTCACCCAATAGAATGTCTCTTTATTATTATTGGGGCCTGCCTAGCAATGCATAAGGAGAGCAGTGACTGACTTGCAAAGCAAGTCAGTCACTGCCTCCATGCATTGCATGGCAGGCACCTATTAATCTACACCCAATAGAATGTCTCTTTATTATTATTCTTATAACTTATTCTTCCGTAGACCGGAATGCGGGTCGCACCGCTGCGAGCTCACCCACAAAAGTGGTATCAAAACGTGCGGCTTGTTCCCGGCATTGGTGGAACTGTCAGTTACTACTGAGGAGGAATGAGCTGCTCTTTAGAATTACATTGTGTTTGGGCTTTTTATAACTGATTTTAAGCCACCATTGTTACACACAGTATTTGTGTGGAAACTTTAAATTAAGCTGAATGAAAATTTCAAAATAAAACCTTAAATATTTCTCTCAGGCCTGTCAGAAAAACTAACTTCTTCAAGCATTTATAATTAAGTCTCTCCTTGTGTGTCACACTGACATGACACTTGACCTCTTCTTTAGAACTACAATTCCTGAAGGTTATGACTACAACATGGCAGAACACTCAGTGCCTACAGAAGAGGTCATAGGTGATAGGTATTTGTGAATCTAAATAGAAGAACAAACAGGCAACGTAAGTGAATTTTATGAAAGCTTTTGCAAAAGGGGAGAACCCAGCAAACCGCTGCTTCCAGCCGTTCACCGAGCGCTCTGAAGATCCTTTGTTAGGGCTTTCTCTTTTATTACAAAGTAGATAGTAGAAAAGGAATGTGGAGGGAGGCAGATAGGAGTATCCCGAAAATACAAGTGGCTGCAGCTTCAAGGTCTGTACACAGCTGCAGCTCCAAAGTCTAACAAGTATGAGAGCTTTTCTCAGGGATGTGAATACTAAATCTATTATAACTACCAATGTAAGAATTATAACAAAACATAATTATTCTAACATTCCCCCCTGTTTATAATTCTTACGTAATAATTATGCAAAAAAAAAAAAGTATAAAAAGAAAAAGAATGAATTACACATGTGATACAAGAGTTGTAGAATGCATAATATATAAAATAAGAAGGATAGAAAAAAAAGAAATGTAAAAGAAACATTAAAAACCAAATGCATATAATGTGGTGTTAATAATATAATAATGTTGAATGTAAGAATAAGAACACAGAAAAAAAACAACAACCCAAAAACAAACAAACAGCAGAAAATCAAGTGCAGTTATCATCACTAACACCATTTGTTTTCACATTTTCAGTGTAGGAGTCATCAAGCAAATGATTTAATCTGTTTATTAATTTACAAGACATCACCTCATGTACTCATTTTCCAGTCATCTTCTTTCTTCTGGAGCAACATGTAGTCCTCATCTGTGTCAGAGGTTACCCTGACCAACTGATAGCTGAGCGGAGCAGTGTTAAATGTCTTTAACAGCATGCTTTGAAAACATGAAATGAGGCAGGTTGTGAACAGACAGAATAGAATCAGTCCAGTCAAGATGGGTGTTCCAATGTTAACCAAAAGCTGCCACCAGAGTCTGGAGGTCAGCCAAGAAAGAAAGTCAAAAGTTTGTGAGCCCTGAGTTGCACTGTCCACATAGTTCTTAAGCTCTTCCAAATCATGCAGGGCATCATGAATAGTTCCACCAGTTCCTCTTTCATCTCATGTTGAACCTATGATCTTGCAGGCGCTTCCTTGAGAGGTTGTGAGAAAAGCCAACACAACACGGTTTTCAAAAACATGTAAGTTCCATGTCCGCACAGGAAGTACCAGTCAGCCATCACCCGTTGACCATAGTCTCCTGGCACTATGGCGCTGCAACGAGCTGTCTCCTGTCGTCCTCTTGTCTGCTGAGTGATGTCGAACGTCGAACCTCCTTTCCTGAAGCAAATTGTGACAGTCTGGATTGTCGTTCCAGATGCTGCATCCTGAGGTTGGCTCCTGACCTCTGCAGGCGACGAATTCCGGTGTTGTCTCGCAGAAGGTGTAAACTGTGTTACACAGGTTCCATGGGAGCATTCCTAGTGTTGTAGGTCCATTGTTATAAATGCAGCTCCTGAGAGATCCTGGTTTGGCTCCTGCCAAGGAAATGGTCTCTGGTATTTTCATCACAGTTTGTGGAAATGGAAGAACATCAGCAGCAAGTGAACAGTTCATAGCTCCAAAAAGTCCTTTAGCGGCAGCTCCTGATCAAAGGCCTCAGTTGTGTGTGGCGTAGGGCAGCTGTGCACACACATAGGGGTTCACCTCGTTCACCTCATGAGCAGTCCTGTTCATTAGTTGCCACCACAGGTTAGTGCTGTAGTCATGTGGATGAGACTGGGGGAAGAGTGTTTGTGCTTCTCTCCTTATCTTGTGGAGGCTGAGGCAGCTTCCACTCCAGAACAAAAAACATGCTGCAGTCACAGCGCAGCAGAGATTCCACCTGGCGTATGAGAATCCCATTGCTGCTCAGATTACAGAGATGTTAGAATGTACCTAGGACTCTATAGAACAGGGGGTTGATGATTTCTTCACCACCGTTGAGACGAGTGACCCTAAAAAGCCTAACCCCTGTGAAGGTGGACTCCCACCTGCTCCCACCTAGGCTTCCAACACTCTCTGCAACTTACAGTGACTGAGATGAATCCAGTTGGGTCGTTCAGCAATCTTTACAGCAGTTGGAGTTGTTATCAGCACTTGGAATGGTCCCTCCCACCGCGGGCTGGCCCAGCTCTTCCTCTTTATGACTTTGATAAACACCCAGTCTCCTGGCTTGGTGGGAGTGGTTTCCTGCGGGAGAGGAGAGTCAGAGGGCAGTAAATTTGCATTTGACACCTCCTTCTGTTTCAGAGTCCTGATCATGTAATCTGCCAGTGTTTGCTCCTCATCTGCATGTTGCAAATTTGGTGAAAATATAGGTAATCTGTATGGTCTGCCATGAATTATTTCAAATGGTGTTAATCCTTCTTGTGTGGGTGTAATTCTCATGTACAACTTTACCAAATCTAAACATTTTAACCACGGTGTTCCATACATTTTCTTTAATCTAATTTTAAGTATAAATGGTTTGTGGTATTGGAATAATAGTTTTACATATAGCTTTAGCTACTGTCAAAGCATCTGGATGCTTTGCTAGAACTATTTCAACCCATTTAGAAAGAGAATCAATAATTTCCAAACAATATTTGTTTGCATTGTTTGAAATGGATAAGAAGGGTTTGGGAAACTTCCTCTTTTTGGCCTTGTGTTAGAAATTTAGTCCATATGTTGTGAAATATTGTTGTATTATCCCCACCATTCCCCCTGTTGACACATGGCATTGCCCATGTGCCACAATTGCGGCTGCTTTAGATAAAGACTTTGGGAGAACTGGTTTGTTATTGACTTGAAAAATGTCCTCATCATTCATTTTGCACCCTGCTAGTTTTAGCTGACAGTTATATTGCTTGAAGGATAGCTGTTAGCAAAGAGGCATTTTGTTAAAGATCTTACATATGGATGTTATCAAATTCATCAAGGCGAAGCACTTTTGTTTTACTCCTGACAGAAAGCACAACCCAGAGTTGGTTCTGCTGCAGAACAATGTTATTACCCTTTTACATGAAAATTACCATTCTGAAATTAGGCCAAAATCTCAAATCCTCTAATTCAATATTTCTTTATGAATTTAATGATCATCAATCAATCAAATTTGGATTAATGGTTTTAGGCGTTATCTAGAAAATATTATGTTCATTCACAAACATCAATTTGGAGTAACTAGCTTGATCAAATATGAAAATTTAATTTAACCTTGCATTTCAGACCATTTGAGAATGTAATTTTTATGATTTAAATAATAATTTGATCAGTTACTCAGTTCTTGAGTGCAATCTGTTTGTTCCCATAATCACACTCATTTCCATCAACGTAATGTGACACAAACAAAAACATGAAAATTAATCAGATTTTTAGCCACAAATTTATAGTCTGCTTTCATTGTTTTCATTTGCTCAAATGGTTATACAATTTTCCGAAGCTTCAAGAATTTTCTTTTATTTGTCAACAACATTTCAATGTGTTAATATTTATCTTTAGCTGTCAGAATCTCCTTTTAAGTAATGCATACATTTTAAGAGCTATCTCAGACATGTTGGAAACCAGCCACAACTGAATGTCCTGCTGCTTAAACACTTCACCTATTTCAATAAAATGTAGATTCATAACTGTTCGATTTAACTGCAATTTATATTATTTCATTTATTTCTTATTTATTTATTTCAATATTCAGAGATATTTGATTTTAAATCCACTCTAGCATTTATTATCAAGATAGTCCTAAAAAAAAAGAAAAAGAAAACTTTTGTAAATAATTATTAGCTTAGAATCTTTGATCATTTTTAGCTGGTGTAATTTAGTGGCATAATTTCCATTACTTCTTTGCTGATCTTTCAGCGATTGCAGTTTTCCCTTCACGGTTTCCCAATCTGTGGCTCATGGACCCTAAGAGGATCCTTAGCAGTGGCCCTGCTGTTTAGGACTCAGAGTTAAAAGGGACAAACTGAGAGAATTTGTCTATCATTGAACATGAAAGCCGTTAAGACTTTATTTTCTGGCTAGATAATATGTGAACAGGGTTATAAAGCAAGCAAGTCTTCATTGCAGTAGCAGTGTATAACAGTTGTGTATGTGTATAACACTTATCTTGGATGAGTTCACTTCTCCCTCCTCCTCCTGCTGCTGGCGTCGCTGCAGCCTGGTCCTCTCCTCCTCTCTCTCTGCAGTTTCCTGTCAGTCCAACTGGTTCTGTATTGTATCTTTGAGTTGCCCAGACTGTCCCTCACTCAATGTCCATGCTGTCCACAACTGGTTCTGTATTGGATCTTTGAGTTGCCCAGACTGTCCCTCACTCAATGTCCATGCTGTCCACAAATGAAACAAGGGTCAAACAGTTCAGTTTGTTGTCTCTGAAGCACATTATCCTTCCTTTTCCAGGCTGATGTCAGGGAGAAGACCAGCGGAGGTTGTAAGAGTTCAGTTGCACCCAAACCCAGGAATGTAGTTTCAGACCAAATGTCCAGCAGGACTCCATGTAGTAGTTGCTCAATGACAGTTCCTGGTGTCAGAAAATTAGGATCAGCAGATCTCTTCTTTGTCTTCTTTATCACTGTCATTAGCTGGTGAGGGGGGAGGGACATCATCTCGGCCATGGTAAGATAGGTTTGAGTTGAGGTCAGAGGTCAGACGCACCGCAGAGAGGCTCAGACAGAGGAAAAAGAAAGAATCAAATAGGAGTAAATTAGAGTTTGTCTTTCTGTCTGTTTTTTTATTTCTAAATATATATCTGTATATATATATATACACACACATACACACACACACATATATATATATATATATATATATATATATATATACAGTTAGGGCCAGAAATATTTGGACAGTAACACAATATTTGTGAGTTGGGCTCTGCATGCCACTGCATTGGATTTGAAATGAAACCGCTACAACAGAATTCAAGTGCAGATTGTAACGTTTAATTTAAAGGGTTGAACAAAAATATCTGATAGAAAATGTAGGAATTGTACACATTTTTTACAAACACTCCACATTTTAGGAGCTCAAAAGTAATTGGACATATAAACATAACCCAAACAAAAAAGTTTTTCTTAATATTTTGTTGTGAATCCTTTGGAGGCAATCACTGCCTTAAGTCTGGAACCCATGGACATCACCAAACGCTGGGTTTCCTCCTTCTTAATGCTTTGCCAGGCCTTTACAGCCGCAGCCTTCAGGTCTTGCTTGTTAGTGGGTCTTTCCGTCTGAAGTCTGGATTTGAGCAAGTGAAATGCATGCTCAATTGGGTTAAGATCTGGTGATTGACATGGCCATTGCAGAATATTCCACCTTTTTGCTCTCATGAACTCCTGGGTAGCTTTGGCTGTATGCTTGGGGTCATTGTCCATCTGTACTGTGAAGCGCCGTCCGATCAACTTTGCAGCATTTGGCTGAATCTGGGCTGACAGTATATCCCGGTACACTTCAGAATTCATCCGGCTACTCTTGTCTGCTGTTATGTCATCAATAAACACAAGTGACCCAGTGCCATTGAAAGCCATGCATGCCCATGCCATCACGTTGCCTCCACCATGTTTTACAGAGGATGTGGTGTGCCTTGGATCATGTGCCGTTCCCTTTCTTCTCCAAACTTTTTTCTTCCCATCATTCTGGTACAGGTTGATCTTTGTCTCATCTGTCCATAGAATACTTTTCCAGAACTGGGCTGGCTTCTTGAGGTGTTTTTGGGCAAATTTAACTCTGGCCTGTCTATTTTTGGAATTGATGAATGGTTTGCATCTACATGTGAACCCTTTGTATTTGCTTTCATGGAGTCTTCTCTTTACTGTTGACTTAGAGACAGATACACCTACTTCTCTGAGAGTGTTCTGGACCTCAGTTGATGTTGTGAACGGGTCCTTCTTCACCAAAGGAAGTATGCGGCGATCATCCACCACTGTTGTCTTTGGTGGACGCCCAGGCCTTTTTGAGTTCCCAAGCTCACCAGTCAATTCCTTTTTCCTCAGAATGTACCCGACTGTTGATTTTGCTACTCCAAGCATGTCTGCTATCTCTGTGATGGATTTTTTTTTTTTTCAGCCTCAGGATGTTCTGCTTCACCTCAATTGAGAGCTCCTTTGACCGCATGTTGTCTGGACACAGCAACAGCTTCCAAATGCAAAACCACACACCTGGAAACAACCCCAGACCTTTAACTACTTACTTGATTACAGGTTAACGAGGGAAAGGCCTTTTGAGTTACTTGCAGCCTTTAGAGTCCATTGTCCAATTACGTTTGGTCCCTTGAAAAAGAGGAGGCTCTGCATTACAGAGCTATGATTCCTAAACCCTTCTCCGATTTGGATGTGGAAACTCTCATATTGCAGCTGGGAGTGTGCACTTTCAGCCCATATTATATATAAATTGTATTTCTGAACATATTTTTGTCAACAGCTAAAATAACAAAACCTGTGTCACTGTCCAAATATTTCTGGCCCTAACTGTAGCATTAATATGTTTTCTGATGAGGAAATACAAAGGTAAAATAAAAGTTTGTTCAAAGTTACTATACATGTACTGAGGGTCTGCTGTTACTGAAAATACTTTTTCTTTGTTTACAGACATCGCGCGGTGTCCAGGTTGGTGATGGCTGTCCACACGCCACTGGGAGGGTGGTTGACCAACAGGTATAATTTTCTTAACCTCAAAGCAAAACATGTGTTGTCAGAGTAGAAATGAATCTATTTTAAACTATTTTTGTTATTTTACAGGGAGACCTGCTGGATTCTTCCATCCCCCCGAATCCGGTGTGGTTCAGCCCAACGTTGCTGGATGAGATGGACCGGATCGTTCCTGCGTCTGGCCGTGACGCTCCGTTACCTACATGTCCTCCGATGAGGAAGAAGGTATTTTATTTTTTTAAAAACTAATCATTTGAATTTGATATGCCACAGTTGGTTTTAACAATTATATAATTTCTTCTATTTTTTAATTAGAAGACGAGTCCGAGGCGTCGTCCAATTTCTGATCCCTCCCAGCTGATTCCGGTGGAGCAGCAGGTGTGACACTGTTTCAGAATATATATCACAGACTTTAAGATAATGAAATGTATAAGTTAACTTTGCACCAAGTTAATAGCTTCTGTTGATTTATAGATGGAGGGAGCGCCGAGAGAGACCGCCACGCCAGCTCGTCGCCAGGCACGGAGACCGGTCCCCCCGATGGACGTGCCCCCCGAGTCCTCTTGCGTGCCACTGGAGGACCATGTCCGGGATGGGAGCTGCGAGGTAACTCCTAACTACCATCAAGGTTACAACAAATGGGTGCAATGTGTTGTGGAGAAAGTTAGTATACGTGGTTCTGTGTATTGTGAGTTTAGAAAATGTGTTTTCAAGTTTTTGACTTTGTGGGTGTGCTGCTTTTTTATTTGTGCCTTTTTATTTTTATTAAATTGAACATAATTGAAAAATTATATTCGTAAAGATTTGCTAAAAAACGTGAACTAATATTTTTAAAGATTAATTTCTAAAGTACAGAAAAGTGAATTTCAGATGCACAAATATGAACAGCCGTACATATTTGTGCTTTGATTTATTATCAAAGCCCATCCAATACTGCTGTGATGACAGTATTTACCATTGTTATTTTGTCTAATTTTTCATTCCCTTAATCTATTTATCACCAGAATAATTCATTACTGAATTACAAAATATGTTTACAATAGGCCTAATTAGTGATAGTTAGTCATCAGGTGAATATTTGTATTAATATTATTTATTTATTTATTTATTTCTGTTAACAGGCTGCTGCTCTGGAACCCGGGATCCGTGGTCCACCTGTCCTGTTGGTAAGTGCTACACATTCCCAGGCCGACAAGAGGTATGCTGCATTTTCCCGTAATCACCAGTGCACATGCATGGCACTCACATTTTTGGCGTACCACAATGAGGGGTTGCAGTTTGATACAGTGTTGCTTTACAGAGTGATTGAAAAAGGAGACCAACTTTATGTCGGCGTTAAACAGCAACTGATCAGCGATGGAACGTTTCGTGATAATCACTTGACGTTTGAAGAGATGCCTGACCATGTGCTGACAGATGGGAACATCTATGCAGTACACACAACTGGTTTAAGGGTAGGTCATGTTTTGGCTCATAGCGGGAGCCGTCAAGGATCTCAACAATTTGGTTTGCCTCTTGCCTTGCAACTGGAATGTCTAATGGAAAATGTCACCCATGCTTTTCTTTTGGTGACTCCAGAGTGCATTGCAGTTTTCAGGGACAGAAGTGGTCGGTTTGGAGTTTTTGACTCACACTCAAGAAATTCAGAAGGCCTGCCCCACCGCAGTGGAACTGCAGTAATGATGACTTTCTGCAACCTGTCTGACACGGTCAACCATCTGCTGAAGCTCTTTAGAAACCGCGGCCCCAATGCCACCTATGAGTTTGTGCCAGTAGGTTTTGTCAGGGAGAATGAGGACCATTCTGAGAATTTGGCCTTTCAGAACATTTCACCTGAAGCCAAAAAAGTAAGTCCACCTGTTTTGAAACCAGACAGCACCTCTGAAGAGGAAATGCATTTTTGGCTTAGGGAAGTTGCAAATGTATTAGGGGAAACAGTTCCAACAATTCCAAATATGTCAAAAGTTCCAAAAGCCATTAGAAGAAAAATTAAGAACAGGGTCAAAACACAACAGGGACAGAATGTAGTAAGTAAAATGAAACAAAGTTCATCTGAAAAAGAAAGATATCTCAAATCTCCTACATTTAGGAAAAAAAAGCTACAGGCCTTAAAACAAACATACATTCTTCATCAGGCGGAGAGGAAGGATAATTTAAAAGATAGATATAGGACTGATGAATCTTTCCGGAAGCAACGAATAAATTACATTAAGTACAGATTCAACTTTATCCACAACTTCAGAGCAAGTCATAAAGCCCACATGGCTGAGTATACGAGTAAACGTTTCAGAGATGACCCTTAGAAGCAGAAAAAAATCATACATTAGAAAAAGATTCAGAGATGATCCGGTCTTTAGAAGCAGACAAAAATCATACGTCAGGAATCGATTCAGAGATGATCCGGTCTTTAGAAGCAGACAAAAATTATACATGAGGAATCGATTCAGAGATGATCCGGTCTTCAGAAGCCAACACAAAAAAAATATGCGTGAATATATGAAGGGGAAGTATCATGGTGAACCTGGTTATCGGGTAAAACATAATAAAAAACGTGCTGCCAACAGAAGAGGGACACTAT